CAAAAAAAAAAATGTTTTTTTTTGTCATTAACAATGTAAAATCATCAATTTTTGATGCAGGAATTGGTTCCACCTGGTGATTGAATACACATGGCATTCCATATTATGCATATTTGCCGGCGGTTTTCTACTTTCATGGGTCTTTTTTGCGCTCATATACTATATCATTGTTATGTTATCCGGTGAAACTCGGGTAAGCCTTTTTACGCTTTTCTGCGCTCTTTTATGGAGAATACGACAAAAAATTTTTTTTTATGTCTGAGAAATAGATCACCGATTAGAACGTCTGCCTTTCGGGCAATTTTCTGAGCTTCAGAACACCTGTGCCGAATCCCCTATTATCTCCCTCCCCTACCCTCTATACTTGTGTTTCCCAAAGTCCTGGCAATTTTAATCTTTTCCGTCGGAGCTCCAGTAATTTTTAACCCTCTCTCCCGTAATATCGACATCCAGTTCCCAAAAAAACTCTTCCATAGGTTTACCACCTTGAATTATGGTGGTATTTTCCCTCCTAAATCATAATTACAATCTCACTCTTTTACGAATGTGTGGAGGACAGTGATATTCTGGTGAGCTTATGAATAACTACTAAAGATCGCCCAGATCGGTTTATCCTCGTCGCCAAAGTCATTGACTTGCCCGTGATAGTCCTTGGTCGTCGCAAGTTGTCGCCGAAAAATAAAACCCGAAATTGCAGCCTCGGAGAAAAGCATCAAAATAAATGTGTCGTTAAGCACCGAACTGAGAGGTGACAGCTGGGAGGCACCGTCGAGAGACAGCGTAGAGAAGGATAGTCGAGAGATGTAATCGGGAAGTAGCGTCAAAAAGAATGCCATGAGCTCAAAAATGTTTCGGACACCTTGGAATTCACGTTTGCTTAAAAAAACCGCATCAAAGCCGCTCATATCCCACCCACGTGACTCGCCAGACCCCTTCTCGATAATTTGTCAAAAAGAAGATGCAATCCTCCATCACTTACAGTTGCCTTTGCCATATCCTGTTTGCTACGCCGGCACAGACGACACAGTAGTGAGGAGAGGCAGTAACATGGAGAAGTAGTAGAAATTCGAGGAAACATTTTGAAAAGGTTCCCTGCTTCAGGCGGACTCAAGAATTTTAAACGAGATTAGTTTCAAATTTTACGTTTTTTATCAAAGTGTTACTGTTAACCAAAAATAATTTTCTCATGCTTCCTTTTGCCATCACCGATTTTTCATCCAAGTTATTTGGAATACTCG